TTTTAAAAATAAAATGGAGTGCTACTCAGACATAAAAAATGAGAAATTAGAGACATTTATAGCAAAATGGATGCACAGTGGGAGATACTCAAGTGAAATAAATAGGCAAATGTGTAAATACCAAACAATTTCTCTAGTGTGAGAAACAAAGTGTAGATGAGAACTAAAAGGTATAATAGAATGTGAAATTGTTGGGGCATGACAGGACAAATGGCCGAAGCGCTGACCCCGAGTCCCAGAATGCTGGTTCTCACCGGGCACACATATCCCAAAGGCGACGTGATGGGGCCAAGTTCCTCAACCCTCAAATAATCCCCTAATCTCTTCTTTGTTCCTGCTTCCGGTTTACACTCCCTTTTAGTCATAAACAGATGTTCTATCTAGATGTTATGTCTTTAGTTTGAACAATGTGTATCTGATTATGATTGCTGTTAATTACTGCTCATAACTGTTGTTCATCATCAAACCACTGTGATCATGCATTTGTTTGTGGCTTTGAAACTACTATAAAGACCGTGGGTGACAAATAAACTTTGCCATTAGCCATCAGCTTTTGGTCATTCACTGTCTCCGAGGCCGTCTCCCCAAGCCCCCTCCTCTAGAAGGAGACTCCAACATGAAATAGGAAGAAAAGGGGCAAAGGGGAAGGGGAAATGGAAGGGGTAGGGGAAAGGAATGAAGGGAATGGAATTAGTATGAGTAAATTTAAAAAATGGAAACAGGTTTTGTAGATAGGGAGGAAAGGAGAGATTGACGGGAAGGCAGGGGGATGAGAAAAAAATAAGAACCAAGACTGATTACTTAAACATGAAAATTTTCAACACTGAATGTCATTATCTTGTATACCTTAGATGTACCAAATAAATTAATTTTTAAAAAGTTATAAACTGGGCATGGTGAGGCATGCCTATAATCCCAGCACTTGGGAGGCTGAGGCAGGAGGATTGCTGGGAGTTCGAGACGAGCCTGGGCTGGTTCCAGGGCAGTCTGAACTACATAGTGAGACCCTGTCTCAAAAAAAGAAACAAACAAACAAATAAATAAATAGTTATATAATCCCAAGGTAGCATAGCAGAGTAAACGTTCCCCTTCCAATAAAAGGAGGTATAATGGGATAGAAAACAATCAAAGGAACCAAAGCAAAACAAAAACTTATCAAGGCCAACATTAGTCTCATAATTCTATATTGAGCATGCTGAGTACATGGTGGTAAGATATGAATTTCTAAGGATTGAGTGGACCCACTCATATACAAGGGTTGCAGCCCACACAGCCTGTCTCTCCAGCTAGCTCTTCTCTCCTCATGGTCTGCAGCTTTCCTTGGCACATGTTCCATAATCCTTATGTCTCCAACTTCCTAGGGTTCCTACTTCACTTTTGGCCTCATCCCTACAGCTTCATGTATGCACCTCTGAGGGATACACTGCCTGGCCTTGGAGGCCTTCCTTGGAAATCTGGGTAGAAATCTGTATACTCAACACATGCATTCTGTGTGCCTGAATAAAGCAGCATCATGTGCATGATGCCGTGGCCTACTGACAGCTCACGAAGTAGTAGCAGTGTATGAATGACTGGATGGTTGATCACGGTGAAATGAAATCCGGGAAACCAGTTCCTTAAGTGATCCTTCTGAGCAGGGTGCCCATGGGCTCTCCTCTCAAGTGACTGATTTACACTCTTATACCCTATAGCTTTCAATAGGTGAGGTCTTGTTGATTCTTAGAATGTCTTCAAGGTTTCTTTCTTTTGTTCCAGTTCAAAGACCTTGGTGTTATTATTATGGTTTATGGTGTTATTCTATTATCCATAACTCCTTTGGCTCAAATTTACATGTGGTTCTTTGCAGGCCAAAATTTGAGTTTTTCAAATCATTATTCTCTGCTTTTCCCTCCTGATTCTTGTGGTCTCTGGCTAATAGCAGCTACCAGTACCTGTGCTTCAGCCTGAAAGTTAGGCTGCCTTAAAATTTCCTCCACTGGACCAATTAGCAAACCACTTTTAAATTCAGCCTCAAGTAAATTCTTAGAACTTGGGGAAAATATAGAGGTTTTTTTTTTTTCGGAGTCCAAGTCCCCACAGAGTCTTCAATCCAATCTAAAAACCTCATGATCCTCACCTCTATATCCACACTTCTTTAAGCATTCTACATAAGTATGAAACATTGGAAACATGCAGACTTCTTACAATGAGTAATATGAGCTCTGACTAGAATTGAGCATTAATCTCTGTGTAAAACATCTTAGGCTTCTCTGCTCCAAATCACCAAACCTCTCCAAACTCCTCTTCCCCCGATCATTTCCGAGGACTTCTGAACCACTGGCCACGTAGAAGCACAGCAATGACCCCACTCCTCTAGTACAGATTTGCTGTATCAGTAAGTATTCCAGTTGCTGGACAAAATACCTGACACTTGCAACTTCCAAGAACAAAGGTCTAATTTGTCTTGTGGTTTTAGAGGTAACATTACTTACCTGGCCAGATCCAGGTAAAAATCAGCAGATGTGCATGGTGGAACAAAACTGCTCACATCACAGGAACTCGAAGACAGAACAGGTGAGTGCCAGAGAGGAGAGGACCAGGGGTCAGATATAATACCTAAAGGACTGCTTCCATGACACACCCGAACACATCCTGTAGAGTGCTCTCAAGCCAGCCAACTTGACAATTGAGCTTAACTTTCATACCTTAGTATGACACCAAAGATAAGGAATATCATGTGGATATTGCCTTCCTTTTTCCTTATTTCCAACACAGTCTATATAAAGCAAAAGACAAAATTAATTTGTGGATAAAACTGCTCTTCTATATTTCTGTGCTTTGTCTTATTTGCCATATAACGTTTTCTGAAATAGTTATAGTCATTTTCATGAAGAAAAACATTGAAGATTTTTCTAAAATAGCATTAGAAATAAATGACTGCTCTGTTTTTTAGCTTAAAAACCTTTTAATTAATATAGTTATTTAAGTGGAGAAAGAATGTACTTATTAGAAGAGGGAAACAGTTTACCTTAATACTAAGTGTCAAGAATTTTATGAGGAAAAAATTGAAAGTTTCATTTTCAGCACCCAATTTCCTTAGTACATATAGATGCCTGCTAAAGATAACATTTATTCTGAAAATTATTTGGGTTTCTACATATGAAAATAATGGAAATTTTCCAATTTTAATATATTATATTCAAAAATAATGATTTCAGAAAGCTCTATTAGTCCTCTAGTGCCTACTAGGTAATATTTCTTACAAAATGACCTTAGAATATGATAAAAACTACAGGAAGGCATCGTACATAATTATAAAACATCGGAAACATGCAGACTTTTTGCAATTAAGATACAATGCAATATACCTTCTAATGTTAGTGCTAATCAGTAAAGTTTTCAAAGATTCAGTGAAATAAACAAAGAACAAATGAGTAAACCTTATTATTTGAGAGGCAATATTTAAACTATTTCAGACAACTATTTCAATTCAGAAAACACAACAGATACAGTACAATAAAATGTGCAATAAACAATCAACAGCTATTACTTATTGTAATTATAAAATGTATACAGACATCAACAAATAACTTGAAATGTTAACAAAGAATTTATTTAAATTCATCATAAGTATTGAATAGCCCATTGCATACACTACTGTTTAAAAATAAATCTTGTAAATGAATATATTTGGCATCATTAGAGCCACAAGGCAACATATGATAGGGTTTAGGAATATTGGACTTAGATGCAAACCATTGCTTCAATTCTATAATTCCACTAGTTGTGCCCACATTTTTTAACTCGGCAAAAAGTCCATCATCTCTAAAACTGGGATATAACTCAGTGGATTAAGTATACTCTCTGCCTCTTGCTCTCTTTCTCTCCCTCTCTCCCCTCCCCTTCTTCCTTCTCCCCTTCCTTCCCTTTTCTCCCCAAGGGTACACACTCTTTCCAGTACTCAGATCAAGACCTTGCCTACAAAAGTGCTCAACAGACTTTTTGTTGTTTTAATAAAAATATGCAGACTTCTTCCATCACCACATTTTAATCTCTTAATATTTTTCAGGATTCCCATATTCAGTAAGGTGAGTTTAAGACCCTACTATCTCTTCGGACTTACAAGAATGAAACATTAGTAGAAAGAAGTGGTGTATTGTGCAGATTCCAACTACAATTCATTTTGAAATATTGTAAGTCACTGTAAATTCAGTTAGTTTGATACTAAGATTGACTAACATTCACTTTTGTTTTAAGTTAATATATTTCACCGCTACTTTTCAGTTTGAGAATTATAAAGAAGATATCTCCACACATTCATTTTAATGAATTTTTACACTGAGAAACTGCTTTAAATATTGCTAAGGTAATCTGAGCATTATTAAGAAATCACTTTGAAATATTTTAAAAGTTATTCAGTAGGTTCACTGGATCTCCTTCTTTATGTGTGATTTTCATCCGAAGTAAGGATCCTAAAGTACAGTGATCCATGTCTCATATCTAAAATGTCCACAAGCTGAAATTACTCCTCACTAAGCACAACTTTGGATGTACAGACCACAATGTTCATAGTAAGTATACGAACATAAGTGATAGGCAAAATAATATAAAATGAATAGCAGAATTTTAAAAATGAAGAAGCACCCACACCTAGTTAAGTAGAACAGGCACACCCTATCCTGTTTCTCCCATGTAATATAACCAATAAAAGACTGGACAGGACACGGAGCAGCCATCCTCTGCTTCTCTGCATGAGAAGTCTCTGGCTTCTAGGGATAAGTGTCAAGGGCAGAATAACGGGAGCGTCTTGCAGACAACTCCACCAAGCAGCACCACCTTCTCCCATTAATGATTTTCCCAGTAGTGTCCACATTCCAGTTCATCAGTGCCTTTCAGCACAGGGCAAACATTTCAGGAGCCTCTCAAAGGACCAAAGAAAAGGAAGGAGTTGAAATGAGGTCGCAGCATCCGGCAGAAGTCCGGCCTGGGGCTTGGCCTCCCTTCAGCAACAAGGAGGGACAGGGGAGTTAGGCTCTGATGAAAAACCAGCATCCGGCCAAGGGAAACTGGAGCACCAGGTCTGCGAGGCCCCTCCGGCTGTGTCTTCGCTGTCTCCCTCTGGAGGCGGTGGGACACCTGTGTGTAGCAACCCTGTGGCTGAGGGGAAGACATCCCCTGCAGGGTGCTAGGCCCCAGAGCACAGCCTCCGTGGGGTGAACCTGTCCACGGCAGCCCCACTCAATCCATGCTCAGCATTCTAGAATATCAGAGGAACAACAAAGAGAGATGGGCAGACGGCATCCTGCCTCCAGGACTTCACAACCGTGGAATCTCAGTCCATTTCTTCATCTAGTTTCCTTCAGTGGACTCATCTCTGAAATTGTGTGACTATTACAACAGCTACAAGAGTTAAAATGGAGAATTATTTTATAATTCATGTAAGGAATTAGTGAAAGCCGGCTTTTATTATTTCAAATATTTGACATTGTTCCTCTCAGCTCACCCGCAGGTTCCCTGTTTTCCCTAGGTGCTGTTATTCCTGCTGGTTAGAGCACGGCCTCGTCTCAATTCCAGGACAAGAAGCCATCGTCTTCTGGTTTGTGTGGGGTTTTTTTGTTTGTTGTTTGTTTGTTTGTTTTTTGGTACCGGGGATCGAACTCCGGTCCTTGTGCTTGCAAGGGAGGCACCGGAACCACTGAGCTAAATCCCCAGCCCACATCGTCTTCTGTTTTAACAAATGCAGGTACACGGTTAGTATGTGTGACTCTTGCTCAGTGAGCAATTCAAGGGCTTTGTCCTTTCTGAACTTCCCTAATAACAGAATTTTTTCTTTATATCACTCTAACATTTCTAACAGTTTCAAAATGAAATGCGTGGGTTTTTGCAGTGAGATAAGAAACAATGGCATATATAGAAAGGTCAGTTGTAGATCAGGAAGTGTAAGGCTTAGCTTCCAGGTAGGGACAGTAAAAGCACGTGAACTGGCCCCGCGCACCTCTCACCCTCAGCTCTGAGGATCCTTCCCTGTTCCACTCTGTGATTTCACTGGTATTTCATGTCCTTGAATCAGCCAAGGTGTTTCTCACCTTACAACTTCTAACTGTGAGGTTCTCTCTGTACATAAAGCCCCACCCATCACACATCCATAAGTGCATGGCCTATCTGCTTTGACATACTTTATGGCACCATTATTTTTCTCATAATATTTAATATATTTAAAAATATACAATACACTTATATTGTTACATATGCACATGTGTATAATATATTTAATTATAGTATATTGGAACATATAGAACTGTTTTAACTGTCTGTCTTTCTAATTTTTTTCTCTTGTCTGAAATGATTTGTATGCTCTGTGTGTGCATTCATAAGTATTCCTTGAAAAACAGAACTCAGCCTTTATACTACAGCACTAGAACATTTATATAGTTGTATATTGAGTGTGCCACACATTTCTGTGTATGTATCTATGTATATACATCCTATAGGGCTTCCTTGAATAGTGCTAAATTTAAAAGAAAAAGTACATTGTTAATTGTCACTAGTAATTGTTCTTTTCTTTTTGCAAATTTTGTTTTCATGTGCCCAAGTAAACAGTACATAGCCATTATATACTAAATTGAAATTCAACCCTTTTTGGTCTTACATAAGAGAGCAACCTTAAAGACAGTCTTTAACAAATTTGACTGAAAATTGGCAATTTGAGAGAATGTCTTCTTTTTGTTTTCAATAAACAGGAGTGTAAAGAACTTCATTTTAAAATCATGAGTTATTTTAATTCACTTAATTAGTAAGCTGTATAACATTAAGTACCATCTTATTTTTACAAGTTTAGTTTATTTACTTATAAGTAAAGAAAAGAAAGAATTCAAGTTTATAAGGGGGCAGTGGGTTGTCTAGAAAAGCTTTTAGGAATAATGCATTAGTCAAATGAAAATAACTCACCTTGAACACCAATTTTTTGTTTGTTTCTGTTTTGTTACTGTTGCAGAATACTGGCTACTATAGTCTTTTTGCTAGAAATGGCCTAAATTTTAATTCAAGATTTTCTGTGAAATACTACTAGATGTTATCTTAGATTGACTCTTTCTTTCTTTTTCTTTCTTTCTTTCTTTCTTTGAGACAGGGTCTTGCTATGCAGTTCAGACTGGCCATGAACTAGTGCATAGCCTAAACTGGCCTCAAACTCATGGCAATCCTTCTGCCTCAGCCTCCTGTGTGCTGGGATTTCAGGCATACACCACTACACCCAGCTTCCCAAACTGATTCTAATCATAATTTTTGTTATTTTCTTTCAGCCTAACACAGAATTTTAATTTTTTAAAAATCTTATTAACAGATTAACCTTGAACATAGGTGGGGTTTGTTTTGGGAAGTTGGCAGTGCATTTAATAGATCTTATTTAATTTCAATTCCATTAACTCCTCCCTTGCCTCTCTTATATTGCTTGTTTCCTTCTCTGTCTCCAGAATTCTACCTCCTGGTTTCTTGTCACCCTTAAAATTTTTTTTGTAATTTCATTACTTATTAATTAATGCATTTTTAGGTTTTTCATTTAAGAGAAATCACATATTTAACTTTCAGAGCCTGCTAATCTTTAAGATGATGGTTTCTAGTTCAATCCATATTTCCACAAATGACCCTGTTTCATTTTTACGGTTGAGCAATATTTCATTGTGTGTACGTGCCATCTGTTGACTGGTGTCTAGGCTGTCTCCAGAGTTAGCGCCTGTGAATTATGCTGCCATAACCATGGGCATGCATATCTCACAATAATATGCAGTCCTTAATTCCTTTATGTAGAAGGAGTCCCTTCTACCTGTCCCTCAATCAAAGCACTTCTGACTCACATTTTATAGGCTTGTGAGCTGGTAAACGCAAATGTCCCTCTTTTCCTGGCTGTGTCCAGGAAATGCAAGTACTCTTGATCTGCCTGTTATCAGAACCACTGTAATAGATGTGTTTTTCCTCTTTGGATGTTAACTAAAGCATTTTTATATATGCAATTTACCTAAAAACATAACCTGAATAACCTAGAAATTCCTTGATTTGTGACTCACCTCCACAAATGTTATCACCTCTCTAGCCAGCTCTCAATTCCTCTCCTCCCCAACATACTGTCTCTTTCTTATCGGTAGGAACCTTAAGATCTAGAATTCTGGTGATTGTTTGTACAGCGTTAGGGTTTTGCAAAAACAATTCAGAACACATATTGCTATCTGGGGGCTTGAGAAGAATGTAAATTGGTTTGTTTCAGGTGAGTGAGAATGGTCGATTATTTTTTTCTACAGCAATTAACAAGTGAATTCAGATAAGTAGCATAAATCTAGTTGATGGCAACTTTATACCGACAACAGTTTTAGGATCTTACAAAGTTAGGTATACTTTTATTTGGGTTCTAGATTGTACATTAATATTTTCTGAAAGCAATTAAATAGAAAGCTTAGAACCAAAGGAAGTGGAACAAAATGGTTAAGATTTATAAAAAGACAGAATTTTAAGAAGTTTAATCAAATTATCTAATTTACTTTTATTAGATATTCATGAATAGGACACTTTCTCATCTAAAACTAGAGAGATGCTACACTGAGCTTGATCTAAGTTGTTTTTTATAAAGCAGCTAAAGTGGGAACAAGAAAACAACATTATAAAAATAAATTAGTTAACATCAGGTAACTTCAGATTACTTAAAGTTTAAAGAAGAGAGGGCTTCCTTATTATGCTGGGATAAATTGGCCTTGTTAAAAATTTCACTATCATGCCTGTCCCAATTTCTTGGAAGATAGGGTAAAGGAGATTCAGTTTAGTGACATGAAACTTTATCACGAATGATTTGATATTAGGACATCATGGAGGAGCACAGACAAAATCAATAGCTTCCTATAAATGTTGTTTAACAACTGTAATATAAATTGCAAAGCCAGAAATGGGTATCCTATGCAGTTTTTCCCTCTTCCTTGGTAGGAGAGGTTTATAATTATCAAAGAGCCCAGAATAGCAACAAGGACTTAGGATTTCTGTTAGAAAGACTTTAACAAGGCAGTGTTAAAATGTGTACGAAAACTGTCTAAATTTCCTGCAAAATTCTCACTGAAAAGTTAGTTAGAGTTAGGAAAAAGTGTATAATAATCCATTGTGATTTAAAATGCTGCATTTTTTGAGCCAGGGATTTAGCTCAGTGAATCTGCCACCTGCCTCAGTCCTAAGTTCGAGCCCCAGTACCACCCCCGCAAAATCTGCATTTTCCCTGGAGTACTAATGATTCCAAAAGTACAATATAATGGTACTAATGATTCCAATGGTACAACATAATGTGACTTTACTTATAATTTTTTTCCTTTTGGTGCAGCTTTCTCTTTCCCTGAAGTCTTTCTGGCATTTATTTTTCAGTAAAAGCTGTGGAATCAACTTAGTTGACTCATGTTAAGTAAATCATGTTAATTTAAGTAAATTAGTTTGTCTAGATCATAGCCCAATCATTTTTTCCATTAAGGTGTGCTGTCATGAATAGATGCATTCTGTTAGATAGGGGTCTCTAGAAGAGCAGTACCTAGGATATAGTATATGTCATCTTATATTACAAAATAAGAGAATAAGACAGCAAAGAAAATACACAACACAAAGAGATGAGAAAATAACCCTAACATTACTCCCCCCCGAGTGGTACCCAGTGTCTTTACACTATGCTATATTTCCAGTCATTTTTTATGTTGTATTTTGAGGCAGGACCTTGTTAAGGCATAAAGTTCCCCAGGCTAAACTCAAACTTGTGATTCTCCTGCATTAGTCTCTGAGAATGCTAGAATTACAGGCCTGTGTTACAATGCCCAGCCTACGTAATTGGCTCATATAATTTTTTAATTTATTATTGTATGACAAAAGCTCCATAGTAAGCATTCTGTACACTGGAGACCCAAAAAATCCAGTTGTGTAATTCATAGTGAGTTCAAAGTTCTAAGAGCCAGGGAAACCCAATGGTACAGGTTCCGATTTAAGTGTGAAGGCCTGAGACCCAACAGCAGTGAAAGCAGAAATGCAAAGCAGCATGGCAGGAAGAGTTAAAAATCTCTTTCTTCACCATTTTCTTCTGCTCAGGCTTTCAAAAGAGTAGACTAAGCCTTCCTGTACAAGGAAGTGAAATCTAGTTACTCTGTTCACAGATTCAAATACCCTTGTACATACACCCATACATATGGTGTAAGGTTTAATCTGAGCACTCTGTAGCCAGTCAAACTAACTATAAAGTTAGCTATCAGTGCAGATGCATGGCTATAATCCCAGCTATTCAGCATGCTCTAACGGGAAGATTTCACATTCAAGGCCAGCATAGGCAACTTAGTGATAACCTGTTAAATGAATAAAATAAAAAGTACTGAGGATTTAGTTCAGTGGCAGAGATCTTGCTCAGCATGTGCAAAGTCCTGGGTTCAATCTCCAGTGCTGAAGAGTGAGGGTGGAGAGAAAATATACATAGCAAAATAAAGAAAATAATACTCTTAGCAATGCAGTCCTTACATCTGCAGTCGGTGACATGGTCATAATTGGTACCTATAACTATCGTCTGCTACTCTGCATTCCCTTTTCCTTAACCAA